TTTAGTTACAAAAAAACAACAAAAATGGTGATAACAATACAATGCAGGAAATATATTAAAATGTATAAATATACAAAGATTGTGAGAGCATTAACAGCTGCATTCTATTTTAATGAATTTGTATATTTATGCTATTGTTATAGGCCTATATTTAAATTAAAGTGCATTTACGGCACTATATAAATAATTAGTTCAAATGATTTTACTTAATTTTAAAGAGATTTACATTGCAAAAACATGTGCCTACAACCAAAACTATACGGCATGTCATTACACAACAACAAAAATTTAGCTCCCTATTATGTTGTTACTGTTGTTTACATTTTCACTCAGATGTTCCAGTTTAATGCCATTGTATTGCGGCCAAATTTTAAAATTTGCTGTTTTCAAATAGTCAACAAAATGAATGTAAAGGACCCTCTATAAGAGCAGAGCCCTGTCTTTAAAAAATGTAGGCCTGAACAACAACAACAACAACACAACAATGAATGCCGCATTTTTAATCTAACACGATGTAGCTATAGGCCTACTACAATACAGCGTAGTACACGCTTTACTTACCTATTATGAACATTTTCCAAACTTAGATGAAACACCATTCCGAACTTCAATATTTTAGAAGATGTTTTTGACGACGACGTGTTCACATAGTTCACATACAAGCTTGCTTTTACCGTAATTTGGATGTTATGAGACAGGTGCACACCAGCCAGGTATCTGAAAGAAAATTGCTGCCAAGGACAGTTAGTGCCCTATCAGGCTAAACTTCAAAATTATCAGCGCCCACCCTTATTAGCGAATTGGTCTTGCTAACCTCACCACCAGTCCCTTCCCCCGCCCCACTTCGATCGGACAGTAATGCAGTGATGGCGACAGAAAAGATCCAAATTCTCAAAAGGGGATTCATGCCAGGAAATTTCACCCTGAGACTGAAAGGTAGTGTTCGCTACGTTTCCCCAGACCAACCAGGGTCGCCAAGAGTGGAACTGTAACAAAGGCAAGGGTTGGTGTTCCCCAGTTACGAGCGCGACAAAGATTGCGCCGCAGTGTAAACAATTTTCTGAGGGGGACCTGTCAATATGGAGGGGTCCATTATTTGGGAACCCATGCCATTATTGAGGGCCCATGATAGTAATTAATTTTTTTTTTAAATATAGAAAAAAATGCTTGGGCCCTGGAGATCTTTCCCCCTGTCCCCCCTCTAGGTGGCCCTGAAACCAACCATCCCCCGCCCCAAATTCTGCTGGTGGAGCTAACACTGATGTTTTCCGACTTCGAAATAAAAAGACTTTTTTGATACCTTTACCAGTGTTATATTATATTTTATATCTTGTTACAGTTACTATTGCATTTTCTACTCAGTCGACCCTTACAATAATATTTCAATGTAAATGTTTTGTTTACAAAATAACTATAAAAGAATACTGAATACTGAACAAACAGCTATACCTCCCATCCGAACGAAGAGATCGGACCATTCTGCTAAGCCCGAACCCTTGAATATTGTGGCAAAAATGATAAATATAGGCCTAACTACCCTAGATGCCGCGCATGGAAATAGCATCTCACTACCTACAGAGCCAATGTTCCTCCTCCTTCATGATTTAAAGTTAGTGTTCGACTAGATATTATACCCATGCTCTGCATGTTTGGGGCAAAGGTGAATGTGCCGTTTCACCAAAATTTCACTATTTTTCACCTAGTCGTTAAAAGAGATGAGGTATGATTATTATACATTTTTGTTACATCTACTTTCATAGGCGGATTCAAGGAGCCCAGCCAACAATGCAAATACAATTCATTTATAATATGTAATCAGCAGAAAACAACAATTGTTTTATATGTTCATAATTTCATGATGCAATGTTATTTTTTAAAAATAAATATTGAGCTTTCTGTTGAATGGATGTAGCATGAATAAGTAACATGTTATGGTATGGATTAGAATCCTATATGCATGAAAAGAAGAAATCCCACATGGTTTAAGGATCAAAATTGATAAGATTGGTTTATACGAAATAACACACGCAATAGGTGTATACCAATATTCACTATAATGATTCAAGAGAAATTTCTTGTTTATTGCTCAAAAGGTGTTAAAATATTCAGATTCAGATATTCTTTACTGTGAAAGCAATGTCATATGAGATTTGAAATTATAAAGTTGAATGAATTTTTCTTATTTTAAGACTGCTGTAATTGTTCGATACAATGAAAAAAGTGTCCTTTGATTAAGGCTTATTTGACCATTTGGCACACTCAGAAACTGTTCCGTCCCCTTAATATGGGTGTCCCTTTAATAGGGGTTGGTCGTAGTGTTAAAAGATATATTTCCCATCGTTTCACGGCAAAGTGTCTCTTTAATAGTTTTGTCCCAAAGGAGGGGTTCTACTGTATACCAAACATGAATATAGGTATAAGAATTAAGTTAAAAAGCATTTGCACAGTATCTATGCATAATTATATGTGTATGTGTGTACGAGCATGCTTGCGAACACTTACATTATATAAATGTGATGGAATATATAAATTTAACAACGACGCAGATTATTTCTACTATCATACTCATTTTTGGAATATATTTGGAAGATTATTATGAAGATTTTGTTTAAATTTGGTAAATTTCATCTTATCTAAAAGTAGGACAATTATAAGAAAGTGGATTAAATTTTCTCTTCATCTTTTTTACAAAGTGTACAAGTGCCATCATGACGCGGCTTATGTGAGTTATGTTGAATGAAAGAGGAATAGTATTTGAACGCAATTTCATCAATTTAAAATCACTAATGTAGAGTCTATATAATAAGTGTTTTCTGAATTAAGTAATCTATTAATGTGATGCTTGAGTCATTATATTGTGTCTTTTGTGCACTATTTTTTACATCATAGCAACAAATCCTATTTAGGCATATATTGTGTTTTTATACCGTATTTAACCGTAATCTCAATAAGTTAATCAATTCTAAAAAATACATTACCGTGTTTTTATATCTAATGTATCTATTATGTGCATGACTTTCAGTGGCATGGTGTTTTGCGAGTAGTTGGCAATTAAAATTTTCGGTTTGCTGCCCTCTACAGAAACTGCGTCAGTTTGCTATTACTGTATCATGGCCGCGGCCACCGGAGGTACATGTTTGTTTGTAATGTACGGCCTTAATTTTCAAATGTAGCTAGCCTCTATGTCGTTGGCATCAAAGATAACACTTGGCGCTTCCGTAGTAATTGCGACAGCTACTGTATTTGGAGTACATTATAAAAAGAGTTACGACCAAAAGGTAGTGTGTAGTAGGCTACCTAGCTAGGCTAGGCCTAATCTTGTTCTTGTTTGTAACTTGTTCGCGGCTGAAACGGTCGTAGGCCCATACACCACCTAACCTAGGCAGGCTATCTAGCTTAAGCCTAGCCTACGAGGGTAGGCGTCTCATCATACTATACTACTAGAGCATAGCACTCCTGCCCATACAGTTGTCTATACAGTAATTAATTTATGTTGTGCTCTTATTTTGCAGCGCTTGAAACAAGGTGTTGTGAAGGATCTTGAAAGGCAAGAGAGAAAAAGACGCAATCGCGAGGAGCTGCAACACCAGATTGAGCTGACACAACGGTTGGAGATGCAGAGGGATCAACAAGAAGGAACATCAAAACACAAGTCTTAGTCATGATGCGAGATGAGCCATTTGATTGTACAGTATTATAGTTTTGTCGACCTCTCTGCATCATCATGTAATGGAGATTGCTGAAGGAAAATATTGGCTGTACAGACATTTTGACTTTACAGAGATTTGCATTATAAACTAACTTCCACCAAACAAAAGCACTGAAACATCTCTTGACAGTATAAATCTGTCAGGCCACTACTGGCCGATGGTCTACTCCAACTCAAATCAACAATAACTATAGTATGCAATATTTGAAATAATTTAAATTAAATTATAAAACAAGAGTTATGTTAATCAGAGTGATTGGTTAGATGTTATTGTTACACAACTGAGAGAGATTGGGTTATTGTATGATCAGCACTATCAGATTTTCTTTGACAAAAAAAACAAACTATTATATGCCCATATATAGTCATGATATGCCCATATATGGTCATGATGTGATGTCATCATGACCATATTTAGGTATGTCACATATTTTTGTCAAATAAAATTTTATAGGCTGGACAAGGGGTTTAGGCTGCATCCATACTATTAAATTTAATGAGTCTTGCCAAAGATACTAGAAATACAAGATAGAGCACTCGCATAGCAAAAATGAGGCGGAAATTGGTCTGGACGTACACGGCGCTCTTCTCCTTTTATAATAGTTTTCTATACTTGGTCCAGACTCATAGGGTGCCCTTCTGTTGCTAGATACATCAGGACAACCACGACGCCCTTCTTTTTCAACTAATGGAAGAAAACTTTATCACTAATCGGTGTCCAGTCATATGATTCTGCGCTTTTATGTTTGTAATTTTATTGTTTTGTTTTATGCCTACTTGTTTGTATCTTATGGATAATGGCAGCGATTTGAACCTCAGCAAAAGGAGGTTTTGCATTCACATTTATGTAACGGTGCCAGAAGTTTTTTAGATCCAGCCATACGCGGCGCCCCATTGTTTGCATATCGGTGGAACAGTTTTTTTTCCGTGGAGAACTCTATCTTGTGTTTCTAGTATCTTTGGTCTTGCCCATATGTAGGTATGATTATCATATCACACAAATTTCTCACGTAAAACCGGATAGCCTGGATGGAGCTCTTGGATCAAAGGTACAACAGCACAAACTATGACACAAGAAACAAATCATTATTAAAAACTGAAATTTTTATTACATGCGCATTTGCAATGCTTTACGAATGGAATTGTGAGTTCTGCTTAAGAATTAACAGCAATATCAAAAACCATACTAGAGATACTGTATCTACAACCAGTCACTAATCCCTCCACAATCTCTATGCACTCAGTAGTTACTAAGCCCTTAAAAAACCTACAAAATTATTATTTTAATTTTCTGTGTGCAGGTGAAAATAAATGTAGATGTGATGTTCAACAGTTACAGGAAAAAAATATTTTTATTCAATTCCTTGAATGTTTTTTGTCTGGGTGACTTTCATACTTGGGTTTTATTGGATAATCATTACCACTTAATTAAAAATCATTTATTTCAAAATTCACCGCAAAAATTACAGTATATGTAATTACATATGCACCGAGTTGAGAAAGGATATAAACATTTACTTGAAAATAAACAGATATTAAGAAAGTTTTTTTACAGCTTGCATGCTTGGAATATTAACTGGTTTAAGAATTACAAATAAAGTTTCTACAATTTTTTAACCATGTGACTGAATATAATTTAAATTATTTGCAAACAAAACCATTTAAAATTTGATAATAAAATACATATTTAAAATGTAGGTGGTGTTAAATATTTCTGTTAAAAAATACAAGTTCTGTAACTACATGAAAAAATATTTTAAGAAAAATGTTTAAAAAGATCTACTTATCTAGACCCTAGAGGAGGGTTGATTGTACAGCGAACTTTTTACACTATGTTAACATTAATACTCAAAAAAAGCCACAATCATTTTTCTACTAAATTAATTAGCCATTTAAAACTTGTTACATCTTAAATAAATGAAAATATAACCACACCCAACTACTAAGCATTAACTACTTTAATTAGAGCTTTGTATTTATGCTTTTCCCATAAAATCACCAATTTCCTGCAACTTAAATTTCACATACAAATACATTTTTATCCATTTTTTTTTATGTGTTTAAGTGAGCAAAAATAAAAATAAAAAAATACCCCAGTTAATAAAAATCACTTCAAAAGCAACCAAACCCCAGCATATTAAAACATCTACTTTTGTTGGGAGTGGCAAAATTCAGGTTCCAATTAAGGGGGAGGGGGGTTTAAACCTTCTAAATAAAAGTAAGGAAGCACGGTGCCACAAAACAAGCTAATTCTCTATTTCTCCTTCCCTGACGTTAGCAAAGTGGATGTGGATTTGAATGCAAGAACATCTTAACTGAATCATAACTTCAAATACCACATTGGAAGCAAACACAATCAACCTTCAATGCAATCAAACTTTTATTTTTCTTCAAACTATGCTTTCATATTATTCTCAACACTTTCCCTAAATTATTAATGCTGATTATTACCATTATTATCATAAAAAAGTATCCAAATTATTTTGAAACTGTAGACTTACTCTGATTACTGGTACATAGAGATGAACAATGCAACGTTTTATCAAAATGAATTGAAAATGATGTCATAATAAGCATGATAAATATCAAAATCATTATACGGATAACTTATAACGGATAACAACTAAAATTAATGTGTATGAATCGCAACTCAGTTTATATTTTTATTCAAAACCTAGAAACTGCTGCATTAATTGCTGTATCTAAGGAACTAAAACACCAAGCTCTTGAAATCTATTTGCTGCAAATCAGAAAATTTAAACTTCAGTGTAATAGAAGCAATTGGTACCTAGATTTATGTAAAATACAGTGGCTTATGAGTATATAAGTTCAGGCTCAAGAGGGCGCTGTTTATAGCGCCCTCTATAATTTAGGTTAGTATGCAAACATCTATTATCAGAACCTCACACAACACATGGCCAGAAGGAAACAAATCCTCCAATTAAATTAATAAAGTATGATACCAAATGAAATCAATTTCATTCTTTTTAATCCTGTACCTGGAATCATTTACTAATTAATACTTTGTTAATTGCCTGTGTAAAGATTTAAAAAAAACTCTTTGCACTAATGTATGTTTATTGTCCTATTCACATAGTTAACTGATTTGACCTTATTGATGTCATCATTTAACTTTAAAATCCGACCAATCCTAATTTATTAAATTTATTACTGATCAAATGAGCTAGGTATCATAATTAAATTTCTACAATTGGTGGTTGTCTATACAATCTATACATAGAGAACTAAGGTTAAAGGTTAAAATATCTTTTTCTCTCTCTCTTCTACAGAGTAAATAATTATACTGTGTGGTGGTATTATACTTATATAGAAATAAATTGAATCTCTGTGTAAACAAATGAAAAGGCAAACCTAAAATAAACCAAAATAGATTTAAAATAGTGCCTCGAAATTATCAAAAACATATACGTATGAGTTTTAATTTATTCAAAATAATATATTATTCAAAAAGTTTATGATGACTCATGTATATATAATGCATATTCATGAATATAGAGGTCATGAGTATTGACCTTTGAAAAAAATGATGTTGCCATGGTACTGATGCTCATTAAGTGGCATTTTCAATTAAGTATTCAACATCATTTTTAATCACTTTTATCCATCTAACATGCTTATTGCTTAACATGAATTTACCTGGTGAAACCACACCATCTACTTAGCATGGAAATAGACATGCTATTTCACTTGAGAAAAAAGCTTCTACTAGTAGTGATGGTAATAGCAGTGATAATAGTAAGAACCTATGTTTTAAGGGCTGGATGTTACAAATCACTTTCACCATAGAGGGCGGTAGAGAAGGACATATAGTCTAAAGCACCAGGTACTGCATCATCTCCCGTGTACTGTGCCATTCTTGCAATACAATACTCTGCCTGGTCTGGAGGCAGTTCTCTTCTAAGTTCATCTGCTGTAATGTATGCCTGAAAGGAAAACAATGTGTTTAATAGCAGTGGCATATTAGCCTATCTTAAATCTGTCACGATGAGCATATGGGATATGGCGCCTTTTTTTAGAAGGGAAAATGATAAGCCATTTCATAGTCTGAAGTGCGCATGCCCATATCAAGATCAATTGTCATAAACAAACGTACACCACATACACACAACATAGTTTGTAAATTTACCTTGGATATGTGCATAGTGTTGAAAATAACTTGCGCTCCGACATGCCCCAGCGCCCCTATTTTAGTTGCTGGACCGGTGACTACAGTGCACCCTCCAATTCGAGACCCCCTCTAATTCTGAGACCACTTTTTCAAAGAACTAAACAACAATCTTCAATCTGGACAATAAGCTAACACTCTCTGTCGAGACTGAACCACGTGACCACCCCAAATGTTCAAGTCCCAAAGGTGATCTCGAATTGGAGGGCGACCTGTATTTGGATCCCAATACCTCAATTCATTTTACCTTGTTTCCTGCAAGAACCTTGAACGAGCTCATGACCTGTTCTGCTGTGTCTGTGTCGGTAACTTCACTTGTGACAAAGTCCAAGAAAGCTTGGAAGGTGATGTAACCTGCTCCGTTTGGATCGCATATTGCCATAATACGGTTAAATTCTGGATCTTGGGATTTGTCTTCTTCCTTGACGGCATAGCCTAAACTCATAAGGCAACAACGGAACTCAAACGGCTCCAATTTCAATGTATGGTTCTTGGAAAGAAAAATAAATTTTAGAAATATAATTTTTAATTGTTAATCAATTCTACTGAACTGTTAATTGTGCACACAAATTTTCAAAAGTAAACGAAAATTCACACTTAAAATCTTGATGCATGTTGGGTATGGGGGCACAAGGAATGAAGTCATAGTTTTTTTCAGAACAAAGATCAAAACAATTGATAGTGATACACAAGGCTAAATACATTGAATAGATAAGCTTTCAATTCTCTTGTACTGACCAATAGCGAAAAAAAAATGGGGTGATACCTGGTGCACTTATTATTTCTTTTTTTGGGTGAAAAGATTGATATTATTATTATTTTGAATTGTACTGCAAATACCTAAGTACCATGCATTTTTTGTTAAACTTAATATTTTTCTTAATGATATTTATTAATTTTAGAAATACAATAATTAATAAAAACACAAACCTTATCAAAATGTTGGAAGGATGCTCTGAATTCTTTCAACTGCTCTTCTGTAATGCCCTTCGAGTCACGGGTCAGGATTTGGTTCGAGATCTCACTGATATTTCGTTGGATAGCAGTCAACAGCTGTTCCCAGCCAACACGGATTGTCTAAAGTTGAGAAAAACAGCAATATAGCTAAAAAGGAGTCTTGCAATAACACAGTGAAGTAACAAATAATAGTAATGGAAACAGGAACAATCGAATGACACTTATATTCTTTAAACCCCTTCATTTTTATGGTGAGTGTTTGTGCGCATGGGTCTAAAAAATGGTGCACTATTGAAATTTGAAATTCACTTCTTCAGCTGAAAAACAAGACGGAGCAAGAGGATGGACCGGAACAGGGGACAAGGGTTACATAAAGCGTTTAGCACACATACAAGGACCACAGCCAGTTAAGATGAGCTAAGCTGCTCTAAAATTGTAGAATTGTCAAAGGGGTTGTTATCTTATTAATTAAAGATATATATATAATAATGTTGATATTACCTCCATTGTGAATTCTGTGTGTGGGTTTTCAAAGATCATTGCTTCTTGTACCCGTTGACTGACGACCTCTAGCTCGTCGATATTCGGTTTAAATTGATTGACAGCTTGGTCGTACTGTTGCATGTAGTGATGCTGGTCTTCCAGAGTACCAGATCCGCTCATCGTTACTGCGGTGATGGCCTCCATCTGCTTGGAAATCCAGGGTCCGATCACGTTGGCCTTCTTGGCGAACTGCAGACGAAGCTGTTCATGGGCTGATTCTCATTAAGGAAAAACATTGCATAAAACAACCATATACCATATAAAGCACACATACCCATGTCAGTAATATTTTTTACCAAGTCATCGACTACTAATTTCATTCCAAGTCATACGACTCCTACCAGGTACCCATAAAAACTCCCTCCAATTAAAACCACTTTTGTGATCAAAGTTTTCCTGGTTTTTAGCAGCTTTGGGCTCTAATTATAGAAGTATGTACCATATAGGTAAAGGATAGGTATTTATTTGGGGCAGTCAAAATTCGGTCTTTAATTGGAGGTGGTCTCTAATTAGAAGAGTCCTTAATTAGAGGGAGACATGTACCCCACTCTTGCCTTGCTCACTCACAACCTCTCCATTGATAGACCAATGCTGCCAATCTGCCAAATGGCTTTCATAAGCCCAAGAAAATGATATAACCCATACCTTCCCATAAATATTCAATATATATATAAACAAGGTCTCGCAATCTCGAAAGCTTCAATGAGGGCAGTATAGTAGAGGCAGTAGAAGAAAAAAGATCTATTGAGCAATCAGCACAAAAAGATCTTTTAATCAATCAGCCGGGTATTCCTAGAGCTCCTCAACGGAGCTAAACAAAAACAATTGTGATATCATAAATTAGAATTATCCTAATAAACCAAATTCTATTCTAGCATTTCCAAATTTATCTAGCACCCTCCAACATTTAAGGATACACTGCTGTTTGTAAGTCTCTCTGTTGAGGGCTTCATCCCTTTCTGGAACCAGGTTATTAAGGTCTGCCCACTTGCCGGTAATATCCTACAAAATGCAATCAATAAAATCAATGTTAAAGACTGAAAAATCACTCAGAAAACTCACCACCTCTGAACAACATCCAAAACCAAGTTGGTTTAGTTTATACTTACAAATGCTTCTTCTCCACCACCCCAACCCACACCCCCATTTCAGATAACAAAGATTATACCCTATTCAGACTGCTGTAAGTTACGGTCGGTTGCAATGTAGTCGTTGGGTATTCCAAAACTGATTACTCCCAATCGCAACAAATGAGAGCATTCAGACCAAACCAGACACAAAAAACTGATATTGGAAAGAGAATTCAAATGGTACTAGACTGAATAGGGCATTAGCCATTATCACTCTCGCTACTCTTATTATTGAGTACTAGTATGTCCAAAAGCTCTTTAGATTTTAGAATTCACAGCCGATTCTACCTACAGTAAGTGATCAGTTTCGGTAACAAATATAATGCTGATACACTTCCATGCTGGTGACAGCGCCAGTCATCAACCATCTGATCAGAATCCCCTAATCAGGTTTCATGACGGCATCATGAATAGTGATGTCACCGAAACTGATACTTATCAGATCTATTAGGGAGAATCGGGTGGAATTCAACAGAGATCCAGCCAAATGTTATCTACACCACAGTTGTTTTTCAAGTTATAAAATATATTTAAAAACAACAATGGTTTGGGATATGATAGCTTCTGACATCAAATATAGATGGTAATGTTTGTATTGAACATATTACATAATCTCTTTGCAATATTTTCACCATAATATAGGTGGCATTAACTTACCAAATATGCATTAAACACTATTTATAAGTAGAAATATACCAAAATATATAATGCATGCTTAATATTAAAATCAATTATGTATAAAAGCTCTAATATATATGCTTGTTATTCATAATAAATCAATTTGATTTAAATAATAAATGATACAAGAAAGGATCAACAATGCATTCCATAATAGAGTATATGATATATTTCTTAGCGCCAGTTAAGCATCCCACAATTCCCTATTATATTGTGCCTATGTTTAGATATTAATTAGAATCCTGAAGAAAGTTAACCGACTCCTGAAAAGAAATTGTTATGAAGACACAAAAAGAAGAACATATGATTATAGAACATAAGAAAACACCCTGTAGATATAACATACTTATATAGTCGAGTCAGCAAAACTGAATTAGTAAACCGGCAGTATAGAAATTTAAAGGTGTCCAGACTATTCAACTGTATATGACAAAACATGAGAAATGCCTAAATATGGTCATGACATCATGCCACATCACACCATGACCATATATAGGCATACAACAGTTTCATACTGACAATCTGGACATCTCTTTATACTTTTTACCAAGCTCTTAGCCAGAATTCATTTAGAGAGGTTTTACCTATGTGACCCAGGGGTCAAGGGAGTTCCTAAGCCATCTGGTAGAGTCCGGGAAGAGCTTTGTTAAGGGTAAGGAGGCAAATTCCCTACAGCTAAAACATTCTAGCATGCACATTTTGATGATATATAATGCAAGGGGAGGGGTAATTTATCACAGGGGGTTGCCCAAAAAAGAGGGTTTGTTTGAACTACAGAAATACCTGGTTAATAGGCTTGTTTAAAAATACATCTACCCTACTACGGTTCATTATAAACTCAACCTGCTGAATCTACTGAAGAAGATTTAGGTTCATGCCACACAAAATTAATTCTATAAAGTATTTCTTTACCTAATTTTAATATTCCTTCAGAAAAATGACAAGGATTAATAAAAACACAGAACTAAATATCAGTATTGTAGCTTGTTGATTGATATCCTAAAATATATTTTAATACATAAGCCATTACGGTCAGACTAAAAGGCAAAACAAGCAAATTAACTAAATATATACAGTGCAAAAAACAAAGACAACACAAGCCTAACACAAATTTAAACAAAACTATCAAAATAACAGCCAATGTATGAATCGCAACTCGATAATCAAATTAAGGCATATTTAAATAATCAAATTATTTATCCTGCTACTAGTCTAAATGAAAGGAATTGATAAAAATGATAATTCATGCAAATAAGTAAAATTCTAATTTATTTATTAGAAATAATAAGCTGATGGATCCTTAGGTATTATGTGCTATATATATATATATATATCAAATCTAATTACATGTATCAATTGTTTTATCTATACTTTAATCAAATTTATTATGGATTCATACCTCATTTAAAATATATTAAAATTAATCCACAATATAATTTTTTATCCACTTTTATAATTAGTCATACTTATTATTATTGTATTGCTATTAATATTTGAAAAATGATTATTTACATTATTTAAATTGTCTATAATCATTACCAATGTCTTATTACATAATACAGATAATTTATAATAAAAGTTTTTTTTTTAAATAACTTGTGCATATATCCTACCACAATCACATGTAAATAATAGTTTAATTTAAATCAGATTCTGTAGTAATGAAACTCCAACAAACATACATGCAGACAAACAAGGATGTATGACAACTATGAGTATCATGCACAATACATGCTAGGGGGTTAAGGGTCACGTCTTGTTAGTATCATCTCAACCGCAATGCCCATGTTATTTGAATTGCAAACTATGAACTTTTTTCAATTTCCTTCAAACAATTTCATAAAATATTATTCTGTTTTAATTTATCATTAAAGTTGTATTAATAAAGACCTCAAAAAGTACATATGAATTGCCTTATTTATATTATTCATACATTTTAACATATTTATGATAAAAACAATTCCAATTGCACTAATAATAATATATCATGAATTTAATGTAATTTATTTATAAGTGAACATATTAATTGAAAGGTCAAAAGTGAAAAAAGTTCCATGTAATTATTAATTACTGCAAGCAAATATTGAAACAAAAACCAAACATAAAGAGAACAAAAGTGGAGCAGAATATACAATGAGAGCAGGTCAGGGTTCATTTGAATTCTATATATCTTGACAAAATATGTTCTTAAAAATGCTTTGTATGTTAATATACATATATATATATATATATGTAAGTATGTATGTGTATATGTATGTTTCCAATGTTACATACACGTTTAATACTAATAATAATAATAATAATAACAATAATAATAATAATAATAATTGTAATAATAATAACAATAATAATAATAATAATAATTGTAATAATAATAACAATAATAATAATAATACTATAATAATAATAATACTAATAATAATAATAATAATAATAATAATACTAATAATAATAAATAATAATAATATTTATAAAGCGCACATCTACTGCAGTAGATTTTTAATGCATATTATACGCTCAAAGCATATTGTATGTTTATATGTGCTTGTGTGTTTATATAAGTGAACTTCTAATTTCTGATATATTTTCTGACAAAAAGCCCGATAAATTATAAAAATAACTGGCGATGATGTGTAGACTATAACATGACTCTAGTATTTAAATTGAAATATGATAAATCTTACAAACTACTTTAAATTGATAGATGAAAGCAGGATCCAATTTATATAAATATATTTCTTAAATATAAGGCTATTTCACTAAAAGCCGCTGCCAGAAGCAAAATTTCCTCTATCAAATTTAAGCCAAGTTCAAATGTCGAAAAAATATGAGTAAACCATTTGAACAGCGTAATAAAAACTGGTTGAATATACATAGTGATTATATAGAGAATAAATATCGAAAAGAGAAAGAAACAAGACAATATAACAACAGCAGAAGATACACAAAAAATCAACAGTGTTATAACCATCTCAAAACAGGCATGTGCTGTAGAAAAAAAATTGAGAAAAATAAATTTTTCTCCAGCAAGCTCTGATGATTATTATTATCTTACTTTGGAGTCATCCTCTATGCCATTTGTTTCTCCTTCTGTTGCAACCTATATAAGAGCACAGCAAACAGAGAAAGCAACAACCAATCATTCACCTATTACTATGGTAACACATATCAGTTCATTAACATTCCACTAAAGGTCACGACCTCTAATCATTGATCCAATCAGAACATGTCTTTTTATATTGTCATTTACTGACTTCATTGATTACTCAATATCAATATAAACAAGGTTACAGAGATAATTATATGAAAAACATGCAATATAAAAATACTGTATGTAAATGGATCATTATTTGCAAGAAATTTAGTTAATTTATCAGATATTGATGACAATAAAAATGAGCATTTGTGTCAATTAAGCTAAAAACCATGCTGTAACGCTGGCAAACAAAATCAATATTATTCTTAAATATTAATCTTATTAACTGCAAATGTTATAATGATCGTATATGTGATTAAGGATACATATTAAATATATGTGTATCAAAGATATTTTTCTATTGAATATTGTTATTTAAAAAACATTAGGGAGTGAGATTTTAAACCTAAATTTTCAAACAATTTGGATAACATTAGCTAATGACAGGAAGGTAGCGCCAACTCAAGTCATTCTCACTTCTCAATTGAGCTTTAACCCAATTCAACATAAATATGGCTCAAAGGTTAATAAACAAGTATTATGGCCTTAATTAATTTAATGTTTTTTTAATGTTTTTATTACCAAAATCTTAACATTTTTTTTGCAATTGAGAGAATGAGAAGATAAGAGACTGGTACGGATGAAAGACATGCTGGGTAATCAGTAGTATCATGTGGACATATTGCTATTTATAGTTAATATATACATTTCAGCACTTTCAATACCATCCCCGCAAAACACAATTCTAAGCATTCATGCTTAATTTGTTCTCTGTTAACTCACAACATGCTTCTGGTATATCAACATTCCAAGGTCAACTATTCATGTTATAAACAGCATACACCTCTATGACATCAGCATTACCTAACATAATTAAACTTGTTACCTATTAATTAGGAATTATTCAGCCAAAAAATGTATGTTACTCAAGCTTGACCAACCCAAAATCCTAAAAATCTAGGATTGGTTTTTAGGGGCGTTTTGTTAGCGAACACTTATATTACCACAATGGAAGAGCCTTAAAATACTTTTACAATAATTTAAAAGGCATTTCACAGGCTTTAATAGATAAATTTTATAACTTAACCACAGAATGTAGTAGTCCTATGGTTATCAGGTTATCACCATAATGTATAAAGTGAGTGACTGTTGGCTACAAAGCCTATAAAAGGCTAACCCCCACCCTGGTTTACAAATATCACTGTACTTAAGTAACACAACATTTTTTTGGCCTTATCTACCCCCAGAAAACACCCCCATATTAATGAGGACAACTCACCTGTACTTTGAGAGCGGTGTAGGGGTTCTGTAGAGCAGACTTAATGTCGTACTGATTTCCAATTTGAATAACTTCATTTGCCAGCTGCACAATGGCTTCATACTCCGACTGCGCATCAGGCAAAGTCTTCTTGAATGACTCATGGGCGTCCATCAGTTCCTAAGAAAAAAAATAAACATTAGCATGAATTTCATGTACACAGGGTCCCAAGTTGGAAGAAGTTACTTCTGGGAGATCGTTTAAATGAGTTTTTTTTTTAAGCCAGGCACTCTCTTTGCCAGGTGGTCATCGGGTGCTGTGATTCTATGAGGCATGCAACGTGATGATGCAACTGACAATCAGCAGACAGCGTTGTGTCTTCTAGCGTTCACATGGATTGGAATTGGATTCGGCGTACAATGCACTGATTGCTCGACTTCATACACATCTAACTTTATCTTGCTGTGCACGGTGATACAACTGGCAAAGGACTTATAAGATGTAATTAATAATACAATAGCAAAAACATGTAAATATAATGAATTTGCGGGAGATGGATAAGTTTCCAGGAGATTTTCTTTGCTTTCTTGTGGGCGTGCGGGAGGCCGTCCCAAATTCCGGGAGACTTGTTGCATAAAAGCTCAAGCTGCACGAAGCTGTAAGAGCAAGTTTAGGCCTATTATTATCCATTCAGGTGTATGGCATGGCATTCTTACCTGGATTTCATCTACGCTATGAACAATGAACATGTCGCCAAGGTCTTCTCTGGCTCCGTCCATCCAGTTGTAGAAAGGAGCTGCTTTGATGGCGAACTCCAAGTGAAGCTTATCAATACGATCAAGAACTTTCTCAATATCCTGAAAGAAATGATACATTAAGTTAAAATGATACATTAAGTTAAAATGATACATTAAATTAAAATGATACATTAAGTTAAAATGATACATTAAGTTGAATGATACATTAAGTTAAATGATACATTAAGTTAAAATGATACATTAAATTAAAATGATACATTAAGTTAAAATGATACATTAAGTTAAAAGTAGAGGCAAGGAACTGGCCACCCTACACACAACGCTGAGACTTTAAAGTATAATGGGCTGTAACAGCTCATCCCCCCATGATCATTGAATATAGGACTAGCTTTGCTTTCACCTTACAGAATTCAAACATATAGTAAATGATATTCAATCAAGTAATTTCATTTGCATAAGTTATAGGTAAGAGACAATGATATTTGTCAGCCAAATCAACATTCTGTAAATGTAACAAAATACTAATTTATTTACAAAGAATTCTGTTTTTACATATAAATGATATCATTTATTATATTTTATTAATTTTTTTACTTAAAATGGGATAAACTAAAAAAATACAAAAACAGTCATGCAGTAATTTGAGGCATTAGAGAGCTTTCGTTATCTCGTTCAAGAATCAATTTAAGGAGAATCGTCGGAGCACCAGGGGATTTTCCTCCTGGACCACGTCCCCCTGGGACCACGCCCGAGGCTGCGCCCCAGTCAAGCGGTGTAGTCACTTACGCAGGTTAGTAACTATGTTGCAGTACCCACTGCTACATGGGGATTAGATTCAACACTAGTTACTAAACGCAAGTTAGTGGTTATGGCACCAGGCTAGTTATCTGGAGGTGGTTGATTTGATTCCCACCCGAAGCAATTTTTTCTCTCAAGTATTTTTGGACGTACGAGTATTCGGTATGCTAACACATCAAATAGAGCAAAAAAAACACACTCTATAATATAGTGTACTTATACGGACAAGACCAATATTTAATTAATTATAATTTATGTATCTATGAATGTTTGAAGGTGCCTTGTAATTAAAATTTCATGCTAATTAGACAATAAAATTTTATCTAAAATAGACTGTTCCATATTTTTAAGGGGTGTTCACTCTTTGGGTAATAAATGCCATACGTTGGATTATACAGATACTGTAGGCTCTTTGTCTCATGATGTAAACAAACACATAAATGAGAACATCAATCAATATGTAAATGAGACAATTCATAGAAAAGGTTGTTGGCAGATGGTTTCAAGATAGAGCTTATATTAATAAACAATAAAATAGTTTCATAAAGCCAAATACAGACAACACCTGCAGACATAGGGCGACTGCATATTTGCATTGAATCTGTGTGAACATTATCAGTTGTAGGGAGACTGCATAGGAGGCAGTTGTATGTCATAGAGAGAATATCAAACATGTTACGTACTCTGCTATGCTTGCATTTTGCTTGTGTCCTTGAGCAAGGCACTTCATCTACATTGCTTTAGTCTACCCAGCTGTATCAATAAGTACCAGCAAAAATGCTGGGAGCAGCCTGCAATGGACTAGCATCTCATCCAGGGAGAGCATCCCACTCTTATCCACTTCACGCTACAGAAGCTAGGCTCTAGCCCCAATGTGCCTTAATGGCTCCTGAACTAAAAGGATTTTTTTTAAACTTTAACTTTACATTTTTTTTGTCACTTTTAATATTCTATTGAACAATCACGCATGTTTTTTAGTAGGGAGGAGGTCAGAGGTCGATAAGGAAGCTAAGCTGCATAAGTTGGCATAGATGCTTAGTAATTGAAGAGTATGTACAGACTACGCAACTTACATCAAGAGCTTGTGTTCGTTTCAATGTCATGGCTCCAAGAGTGTCCCACTGGTCACAGATCGCCTGACACCTTGAGTTCACCTGAGCAATTTGTGGATATTCCAAGTCACTGAAAAAAAACCAAAATGTTATATGCTTATTCATATATGAGAAAGTGGAATACTTAAATAGAATGGGATTCGCCCAAATTTGTAAAAGCATGAGATCCACTAAGATGTTATGTATATATGTATTTATGCTTAGATCTTCAAAGATGCCTTTGAGGTAAAAGGACAGACCAACATTCTGATTCTTAAACACGAAAAATATAGAATGCTTTAATGAAACTACATTTGCTGTTTCATAACATTTAAAGGCTTCAGGAGTGTAACATTAAAAATAATATTAGATTTTTAAAACTTCATATAAATATTCTACCAAAATGATTTCCACAGGGCTAAATTCTTAAAGTGGTCATAAGTCAAATGTCAATACTTCATAGCATATTATTTGTAGCAAAGACAAGCCAAACCAGCCACTTGTCACAAAAGTCGATTTTTAGTTATTAATACAGGGTTAAATAGTAAAATGAGAGCTATTAAATAGTAAAGGAATCATTTAAATCCGACATTTCCTTATGAAGTTACAAGTATTTAAACATAGAACTGTTTAAAGAACAAATATTTGAGGAATCAGCCTTTAAAGTTTATGATTTCAGGCATTTCTCAGGCAGAAGCCAATACCAAATCATTAAAAATTGTTATTTTAACATTGAAAATTACAGCACAGCATGATGTATAGATATATAAAGGTTAGTTTAGTGAAATAATATAGAAATTGTAAAAATATTGAAATTCCAGCATGTTTTGGCCATTATCTCTGAAACATGATTTGCGATGAGTGACTGCTTTGACTGTCTTTGCAGACTTACTTCAATTCTTGTGCAATAGCAGCAATCTGTTCCACTCTGTCTTGGTGAGCTGCTAAATCACTCTGGAAAGCCTCGTGCTTCCTGCGCAAAGCCTTAAAAACGATTAATAATTTTAGCATTTAAGTAATTACGCATGTTGAGGATGATAACAAGAAAGGAAAATCCATTATTTATTGAAAACATATTAACATCATTACTGGATTTTAGATTTTTTTCAGTGTGAAAAATCAAGCATAACCAATGTTTGATGACACATTTTCAGCGGGGATCACTAATCGGAAGACAATCCCCTTCCCTTTTCGAAAGAGTGTACTGTGTTCTTTACATACACATGGGCATAGCGGACCAACACCTTAATATGAAGACTGTGTGTATTTCAGTCCTCAAACAGAAACACAAAGAAAGTAGCAAAAGATTTGACCTTTCCGAAGTATCACAGTTAGCAACTGACAAATATGCGCGTCCTACCAACACACATGTGGTCTCACAAACGCACATGTTTACGTATATTTACTCTATTGTTTCGTAGGACCATAGCAACAGTATCCAAGGGGTGGGGCTTAGGAGAAACAAGAGACCGAAGGACTGACAGTATCTCCACAGTTAAAGGACTGACAGTATTTCCACAGTTAAAGGACTGACAGTATCTCCACAGTTAAAGGACTGACAGTATTTCCACAGTTAAAGGACTGACAGTATCTCCACAGTTAAAGGACTGACAGTACCTCCACAGTTAAGCTCATGATTTTCCCTAGTTCTCTGAACTTACTTTAATTTCATGCAGAGACAGCGACTTGTAGTCAAGTTCCTGGAGCATTTCAACTTTCCCGCCTGACCAGTCCTCATGGATTTCACATTTCAATCGGAATTTCTTGGCCAAATGATCAAGTCTTTCTAGTCTAAAAAACACAAATTTTAAAGAAAAAAGTAAGGTAATGTTTTTCATAACATTCTTTATCATCGGAATCATAAATGTGTAGCGACTAACAATAGTCGCTACGCACGTAGTTTGGACTGCACATGCCCATATTTAAGGTCAATCAATATAGACAAATATTTACACAGAGGCATGGCCTTTGGAATTGCCTGAATTTTTAGGAAGCTAATTACATAATAGTTCTTTCTCTTTATGATAAATATTTGCCGCATGATGAAAAGTATCATTCAAACTATGTATCACAGTTCACTATTTCAGACAATTCGGAAGGCCGCGCCAACTACAAGACGTAGCTAGTGTGATAAATTGATTGATGATGAAAAATAATGATGACAATGATTGACAATGACAATTTAAAATGATGATAAATGATTACAATTGATAACTGATGTTATAATATGGACTAATATTTATGAAAGTTAGATAATACTTTTGTTTTCAAATAAAATTTCATAAAATAACTTGCAAATTAAGTAGGCTACAATAGTTGTAGCATTTTAGTTGTAGGATGCTGACGTCAGCATGGAACACAAATAGGAAACAAGAAAACACTAACCTCCTCATCTCTGACAAGAGCCATTCTTCAAAACCTCTCTCTGCAGACTCAAGTCCCCTCCAAGCATTATTAATATCCTAAACATAATCCACAATGTTTAATAGTTTCTCCATGCTTTATTCCAAGTAGATAAATGCTTTTTTTAAAATAAATGTTATTATTATAACATTTATTGTAACATTTATTGAAGTTTTTAAAACACAGAAGCAATATTTAAAAAAATATGAATATTTAAAGTACATCATTAAATTAAATCCTTACAACTACAGATTTTAACACTTAATATTTTTGATTACATATAAAAAAAATAATCCCTTATCTCCATCAGTTAAAGTGAACTATAAAAAAATATATAACTCCTAACAATATATGATATGAGAAAATTACAATTGGGGAAACACAAATGGCGAGTCACTAAAAACAAAAGGCTTCATTATGTGAATAATATGTAACATATTAAATATGTCCAATCTTAATTATATTATAGGTACTGTCTGAGAGAACGTGAATGAATGGTAAATAGTATATTAGTAAATAGTATATATTAGTCTTTAGCAGCTTTATAAAAATTGACATTCATCTGGGGCTGAAGAAAGGAAGACCTGTTAAATGTTACACACTTACAGATATCATTTTGCCTTCCGTGGGCATGAATGCAGGACGGTTGTTAAGTCTTAGCCTTGTCTGGAGTGTATTAAAGTTTGTCTCAAGCCGACCTTTGGCCTCTATTTTTGGTGGTTTCTCTCCACGACGGTAACTACGGAATTCGTCCATTTTACCCTAAATTCAAATTCAACAAAAATGTTTATTTTTTTTTACAAAATACCATATTTACTCAAATAGTTGTTTCTTGAATAACACTAAATTTATTAAACTCATAAAATACCAGGGAAATCAACTTTGATAGCCATGAAAATTAAAGATTTTTTTTTTTTCAAGCTTGTACTATGTCGTAAAGTCAGTACACCCAGGCATGCCAATATTTAGGCAATAATTAATGTTTATGTAACATTAACATTGTCATAGCCATCAAAATCTATAATCATATATTTTTTTACAGGTGTAATTTTGCCCAAACTGACATGAAGATGTACTGAATACTCAGTACGTGTGAAAACACTTGCGGAAAAAAAAATCGCAATTTGTTGTCGGGTGGGACTCGCCAAGTGTTATCACGTGTACTGAGTATTCTGTACATTTTCCCATCAGGTTGGGCAAAATTATACATATGCTTGATTCTCCTAACGCAAATCCAGTTATTGTCTATTCCATCATGATAAAAACGATTACTATTCATATACTTTTATTTTGTATTTATTTCTGTTGCAAAAAACATTACAGAATCTATAATCATAATCTGTAATCACAATAAAAATAATTTCTCATACATGAAACAATGTAAACCATTTTTTTCTTTAAACATTAACATCTACCAGGAAGTAATCTGCTCAACGAGTCAATCAAACATAATTATTTTATTCACTTGTCTCATCGTCATCTCTAATTGACTTGTGGAAGACACTTAATCCAATTTAAACAGAATCGATGGAACACTTCTAATCCAATTTAAGTACAGATTATGTTAAGATAGCCCATACCAGCACTCTAGGAACCGACCATCAGAAGCCAATTACGGATGCTGTCGCAATTTGTCAAAACTGGGTGGCAGGGGGTATTATACATGAGCAGCAAAGTAGGAGGGGGTAATTTACCTGGGCAGCGGGTAGTGTGTCCTCGTTAAGCGTTCTATCCTCAAGCCACGGCTTCTTTCGCTTGATCCATTCCAGAAGCTGATCAAATCAAATTAAAAAGATGGTGAATATGAAATTCAATCTTTTTTATATATGAATAATGTGCATAAAACCTCATAATATAGGTATTAACTTTATAAATTTCAGTGTGATTGACATGTTCCGGTTTGTATTAATAATACACATACATTTTATTTCGCAACTTATTGTGGCCAATCGTGAATGCAGGTGCAAACAAACAACAAAGCCATATACAATATGAATAATTAATCACAGCAGGTGTTTAAATTCTTAATGCATTCAATACGAAAAAAAAAAAATTAAGTACATGTATTTACAGCGTGTACAAATGTATCTACTATACTATAATTTAGAAGCAGGCAAAGGGATTTCTTTTAATTCCTAAAAATAAATGGTTTTATTATTGAATCTATAAAAAAATGACTAATATAAAGAGCAATATAAGATATACATTAAAAAAATTGAGAGATCCCATTGGTTGTAATGTTAATACATGTTTCATATTTAATTTATATTTGTAATTCAATTTTTATATTTATAATGGATGTCAGCCATCTTTTCATTTATTGGTTTCACATTACGACTTGGCAGGTATGCAGGGGACACTGAACATTCCCATTCAATTTAAAGCGAGGAATTCCCATTTATGAATACATGTAACACAGTTGAGATGGTCCCTGACATAGTTGAGGTGTCCCCATCAATCGTATCAAAACGATGACCGGCTTTGGCATTCCTGGATCAGTATCACATGACTTGATTGCTGGGAATTCATTGGTTGCTGAAATTCTGTCACCCATCTTTTTGATTATAATACATTATAACAATTATAGTAATGGTGAGCTAAATGGGTCACTATTATTGTATATGTTTTAAATAAAAATATAATATATAACTATAAAAGAAAAAAAATGAAAAAATAGTGATGCCTGGAGAAAATATTTTAGGAAGATATCAGTTGCAGAAAATAAAAAGGTACGGTAAATGTCTTGTACAATTTTTTAAAAGTACATTTCAAGTACAGAATATTTAAAGGTGCGTGATCGCTGATTCTACTTACATCGCTAGCGAGGGCTTCGTACTCGTCCATAAGGCGCTCATTTTCTTGGTTGACTCCAAGAACTTTACAAATACGGCTTGCAGCAGTCTCAGCCTAAAGAAAATTAATAAATTTAGTGAATTTATGAATAATGATAAAATCAAAATGAAACATTATAGGTCTGTATTACACCTCATTCGGGGGGGGTGGAACAACTTGTATATTTGGGAGTTTGATTTGTGTCTTTGATACAATTTTATTTGATACGTTATTAATTTCAATTAATATTATTATTTGAAATAATTTGCCTCTAAGTTACTAACTCGTACAGTAGCCTTGACATTAAAACAAACCAATGACAGCAGTTTTAATTATAAATTAAAGAGGATTAGATCTGAGATTATTATAATTAGAAACTTCCTCCAGAATGATACTGGCATACTGTATGAGAGACTAGTAGACCATATGTCAGATAAAAACACATACTCCACAGAGAAGTCATTCAATCTTGAATGCGAAATTAAAGGAGATGAGAAATTAACTAATTCAAGTACCTGTTGTGCGCCGGAGAAAGCGTGATAGTATGATGACACGTACGTCATAATGGAACGCTCATCTGGCTTTGCACTGTTCACAATCTCTGCGAAAATAAATAACATTAATATTTTAATACAACAGCTCATAAGTTGAAAAAATCAACTGTAAACAACATAGCCATATTAAGTTCAACTTCACTGCCAAAACAGAACAATTATAGTACAGTATTATCTGAAATATAAAAACAATACTGTTCATACTAGAAAAGAAAGGTCAAAGTAAATTACTGTTCTTTACATTTTCAATAGAGCAATAGTTTCAGTTAGCATTTAAAAAAAAGAAGATTTATCTTACCGTCGGGGTCCAACATCTTTGGAATGTCGAGGTACTTCTCAGCAACTTCAAATGCAGTGTTAAGATTGTGGTATGGGTCATCCTAAAGAAGACGCAAATTCAAATATATACAATACCCCAGTTTTCCGGAAATACTAAAGTTATCCAGAAATATCCCTTCACATTGTGAACCACCTCTGTATGTTCTGATTCACCTCTTTCTCTCTAACCATCAATCCAACTTTTTCCCACAAACTACAACACTGACACCATCCATTATAATTTACTTCCGATATTTCGAAAGCAATAGTCGGAATGTCAAATAAAGTTAGGGTGCATGAAAATATAGGTGATTAATGCTGTGCAAAAATACTATGTGCATCTCCCTGGAATTAGTGTACATGGGAGTAGGCTCTGAAGACTGCATGTGATGCAACATCTTCAGGGAAATGAGTTCCAAGGTTGCACGGTTAGAGGCAAGAAAGAGAATTTGTAGATTTCTTTAGTGGTATGGGTTGTCAATTGACCATCCAATAACTCACTTAACAACTCCGTCACAACTTCTAAACTTCAACCACTCTTTCAACCATTCCTTTACTGCCTAACATCTGTTCATTCATGGCATCTTTGTTTCATTCACTGCTTTTCCATCATCCATTAATTCACTTTCAACATTCTAACACTCCCTCCACCATCATTTTACTCTGGGCCTATACTCTCAAACATCCTTTCACCGATTCCACCTTTCATTTATTTTTTTCCACAATCCATTCCTTCCCTTTAAACATTCTTTCACTCCTTGCACCATTAATTTAGTCCAGGCCGTTATTCCCTTGAACATTACCTTACTGCCTCTACCATCCATTTATTTTTACCCCACCATCCATTCTGTCCCTCCCTCAAACATCTTTTCACTGCTTTCATTGCCTGAACCATCCATTGACAGTATTGTAATTTAAACTACCTCTTCACACCACAAATAAACAACCAACACCTTTCAGCATCCATATATATCATCCCTTGTAACTGAGTATGCCATTCAGTAAGATTACATTACCAAAATGAATTCGATATTGAATGAAAAATGAATGAATGAGAAGAATGAATGGCCGGGTGATAAAACCATCATACAAAATTGATATGAGGTCCTTTAGGAGTGTCTGCCCTCAAGAATTAAGAAGTTGCTATTTTACAATTTGTTTTGGAGCATCTCTTAATAATATTGTTGAATAAACAATAAACAAATAAATAAGAAAATAAATAAAACAGTCAAATAAATAAATAATAAACAGATCTGGTTAGAGAACTATTTGTAAAAGTATCACAGAAATCGTTAGTTAGTCTACCACTATCCCATTATCTGGTATCAATTCATCTGGTGCCGTGCATTGCTAGTTAATTCTCACTTCAGACACTAAAGATAATATGTAAGGTTTCTACAATTCATTAAGAGAAGGTGGTTGTTGCTCGGAAGCAATCTGATTGATGACAACATTGCATTCGATTCAAATGCATGAAGATGGAAACATGAAAACTGAAATGGTTGAGTTCTTTAGGCCCGGTTCACATTGTTATTTAAAATTAGATAGTGTGAACACGGCTTTAAGTACTGTTCACACTGTCATTTAAAATTAGAGAGTGTGAACACGGCTTTAAGTACTGTTCACACTGTCATTTAAAATTAGAGTGTGAATAGTACTTAAGTACTATTCACACTGTCATTTAAAATTAGAGTGTGAACACGGCTTTAAGTACTTTTCACACTGTCATTTAAAATTAGAGAGTGTGAACACGGCTTTAAGTACTGTTCACACTGTCATTTAAAATTAGAGAGTGTGAACACGGCTTTAAGTACTGTTCACACTGTCATTTAAAATTAGAGAGTGTGAACAGTACTTAAAGTCCTGTTCACACTACAGTATCTAATTTTAAATGACAAATACCAGTGATTTGACCATATATGCCATGATGATGTCACATAATCCCCATCATCATGCCCATGTATGGTTGTGATATGACAATGACATCATCACTGCTTATGTGGGCAAATCACAAATGTTTGTCACATAATTCCTGGTAGTGTGGAGAGACCTTTAGAATGATTTCTTGAACCGGATGACCTAATCATCATTTTATTAATTATTCATTAGTTTGATTCGTTAGCTTCCATCTTCCATCCTCGCAAGTGAAGACCACAATGAGCCACAACCTTGTTACTATCTTATCCGTTGGTTCCTCTAACTACAGCTGTAAGCAGAGCTAATCAAACTCATGCATATTCACACAAACAGTTATTAGTTTTTATTAATTAATAGTAAACTATGAATTATTATTAGTTAATAGTTATGACAACAACAACTGAATCAATCTACTTTAATCTGTTAGATGTATGCAAACACTAGTAGAAACAATGCAAAGTCAGATGGGATATGGAAATATCACCGAATGTTTTTTTTTTTTTTTTAGCTCTAATGAGGAGCTCAAGGAGTACCCTGCTGATTGATTAATTAATAGACCTGTTTGTATGAGCAGCCATTAGGGCCACTAGAATCACTTGGCTGATTAGTTAATAGACCTGTTTGTATGGGCGGCCATTAGGGCCACTAAAATCTCATCATAGTTTTCGAGATTACGAGAACTTGTTTCAATTATTTTGCCTGCTATATATGTCTGTGTATATCAACTTGGAGATTTGAAATATATCAAATAAAAAATCAGGATGAATATGTCATTACTTGGTTAATTATTTAGTCAATTACGCCAAAATAATTTTTAAAAAAACATAGACTTTAAATGAGAACTACAGAATTTAAAAAAGAGTGATGCTAAGTGATTTTTCAAAACTGAAATGTTTTTCCTCAAATTAGTAACAAACTTTTTGATTGGATTGAATGAATAAATTACAGATTGTAATGTGATGAAGGAAGTTAATTGTTAAAACATACACTTTAACAGAAACGAAATTTAGCATGAGAGGTTTTGAAACTATCAAAGTAGGTATATGTTGAAAACGTATGTGGTTTACTAAATCCTTTTCTGGGTTTGAATTAAGCTTTCCAGAGTGTCAATATCGTACTTAATAACTAACCAATCAGAATTATTATTGAGCAGAAAACACTACAAGCATACAGCACTCTTCTTCAAGATGAGTCTTGTGTGCCTCAAGTTACTAATGAGTGCTTATAAAGCGTAACACTATTCTATGAACAATTAAAGGGGGACCCTGTGTGCTTCAGCATTCAGCACATTTCTAATAACTAGGGGAGGGGGCATGAAATCTGCACTTGTAACATGCCACAAAATCTTCAGAATAATGTGTTAGAATTTGCATTTGTTGCTTCTTAAAGATGAAACGTATGAAATGAAATGTAGGCCTATTTTTATTAATATTACATTAATATTAACTAGTATATTCCGTCATAAAAACAAACATGGTAATGAAAATTATGCATTAACGATGAAAACAATAGTGGAAGTTAATATCTTTCAAGTAATGGAAATGATTGATGACCCATGCAGTTAGATTTCACTGATATTTAACGTGTGTTTGACCATTTCCACTACAATGACACGGAACATAATTATAATCAATTTATTCATTTCCTTTTCTAATAATCTTGATTAGCACTATCATGAGATGATAATTGAAGAAGCTTAACTTGTAGCCTTTTGGGATTTATATCATTGGTTGATAAAACAATCTCTAAATAAATATGGACATTCCTCAAACACATTATATACAAATTTTTGATATGTTTATTTGCCAAGCTTCATTAAGTACTACTTTGTGTCAAAGTACGACAAGGTCAAAGGTACAAATTTTGAACCAGAAGAACATCCCATTTGAGGGGGAGGGAGGTCAAGTTCAATTACTCAAGGTTAAAGTCTTTAGGCAAAAATTCAAATTTGGAATGTTTTGAGGAAATGTCAGTAAACAGGTCATGACTAAAACGTTGAATATTTTTCTTGAAAGTTAATGAGATGTTTCTAAATATAGATAGAAGATACTTATTTAATTTTTAAATAGTATATGAGTAACTTATGAAATATAAATGATTTTAACAGTTTTTCTGATATAAATAAATTAAATTTACATTTTAGCTAAATTGAATGAATGTGAATATCTAGCATCTATCCTTGAGAGGTTGAGGGATTTGCTCAACATGTTTTATTAAATTTTGACACAGAAAATACTTTTTCTGTAGAATTGTTTATTGCATTTTTTTTGTTAATTGAGGTTTGCCATATTAAAACCAGGATTAGTGACCAATAAAATGACAATTAACTTTTAAATATATTCTTAATCTCCACACTGTATGCTTTTAATATGATGGGTCATTTACTGAAATTGACTTACTATTTCCAAAGCTCTATGAGTGAAAGTATTAGGGCTTCCCTGTACTAAAGCACTATTCAGTGTAACAATCAGCGACAGTATTCTAGTTTTGGGACGACAAGCGTCAATTTTATATTAATCAATTATGTATTTTAATTTATTATCATTTTTTTAAAGTATTATACTAACCAATCTAATATTTCATTGTCTATTTAAATTGCTTGGAATGTTTGAAGATTTATCTGGATTTTTGTGTTCACATTACATCACATTAGTTTTGTTTGACGTAGATGTCAGACTAAAATATGCAATTTAAATACAGCAGAGTATGGCTAAAAAAAACAAGTGTACCTAAATACCAAATATTACAATAAAAATTACTGTACAAGTGATGTATTATTTACTGGACCTATGGAAATTCCAAGTACTATAGTATTACAATAAAGAATGTGATGTAATTTGATGTTTAAACTGCATTCTTAATGAGCAATAAAAAATGAGGACATGCTAAATATGTAACCTTCACTATGATGGAAATGAAAGCAGTGATAGCAGTGAGTTTAAATAAAGCAGTGACAATGAAAGTGAAGTGAAGTGATGTTCTCCCATAAAAAGTGCACTTAGGAAATAAAGATGGTAAAGTATAATATACATAATATCCTTTCTTAAACCACTCTATATTGAAAGTGATTATAATGAACATCTTACAGCTTTGTGAGAGCATTTTTAAAGGAACCAACAAAAAAGACTACACTAGAAACCACCACTTAAGGAGCTGTGCAAACCAGACATACCTTCTTTAGGGAATGGTAGTCGATGAGTTCTGGACGATGACGATGGATTAGAGCGCAGAAACCAAGGCCGTCCTTCCAGCTAAATACAGAAAAATAAAGAAAAAAAACACTAATTAGTTTTATTTCTTTATAAAATTGTATGGTTACCAATCATGGACACCTTAATTTTGTTAATATTCTTTTTAATATCTATAAATTAACTGTTGAAGTGTATAATACATATGCTAGAAGGGGAAGAGATGGTGGTCCCTGACAATTTATAGATTTTTTTTGTTATTAAAATAAAAAAATGATCTAAGAATAACAATCACCATCATATTATGATGTATTCTTTTGGGAGGGGAAGGGTGTCACAGAAAGGAATATGCATATACTCTCTTAAAAATAAGGGGAAATGGATAACCCCCATCCACTAATGATAATGTAAACGGTTTGAATTATTTCACTTTGGTATTACTGGATAATTTAGCTATATAATGATAATTATTGGAAGGTGAAGTGACAGAATGTAGGACAATAACCACCGGGACAAAAACAAGGGTTGTTTTTGTCCGATTTCCGAAGTGACAAGAGTTAAATCAAACAAATAGCTTTTTTGATAGCTATGTTACGAATGGCATCTACCTTATACATTAATTATCTTAATTTCTTATTGTAGTAAATATAAACATCTAAAATGTAAAGGATTTTTGATTCCTTACTTTTTTTTTAATACCTTGTTTTTGAAACCAGAAAGCTGTCAATAATGTTGACTTTAAACAAAAATGTAATTTATTTTTGGACTATAAATGTGCACTTATTGCCAAAACAAAAAAAGGATAAATATAAACCATTTATCAATCCAATTATCTAACTGTTTATAATAGGAGTTTAGGACCTCAAGCAAAGTTCAAAAGGCACCCTCTATAAACTCAATGTGTCAATCATAAAAATATAATCAATGACAACAGTTCCTAAGTGCTTTTAACAAAGGTCTGTAACTAAATGGAAATTACAGTATATTTTGGTTGTTTTTTAGACTTCCTCTGATAAATTTTCAAAAACAAAATTTGATAAACAAGGTATAAAAGAGTCTTGCCTAAAACTTTGTCTACATTTTATGTGATGCATATTTTTAAAATGCCCATATATGGGCATGATGATGACATATTACATCCGAATGTGGGCATACCACATAAAATTTGTTTGGACAATACTTTAAGATGGACAAATAAAGTATAAAATATAGAATGACACAATCATAATTGTTTTCTTGTGATTATGTATGATTTATGCCTTACGGAATACAGATTTATGACTAATAAACGCATGAATATTGTATTGCATTCAGCAGATATGGTCATTTATAGGCTACACAAATTATATGAATAACGTATGTATCATTGTCTGCAATGGTTTATACAATATAAACTAAGATAAACTAAATTTTGTTTAATGACATCCTTCTGGATGTTTTCGTGCATTTAGTAGCATGGCTATCAATAGACCTCAACATCATGTGATGGATATGTAATTCAATAGGCTCATTATATGGTTAATGTAAACAATTAAAAAGGAAATTAACTTGTGTTGTTACTAATAGTTGTAATAACAAGATAAAAACGTATGGCTAGGTGTTGTGCAATAACTGAATGAAATGGCAAAGATTGTTACTGTCATATATAAAAAATAATAAACTAATATAACTATATAATAAAATATATAAAGTTACTCCCTAAAAAGGGTATACTTTACCTTGTGTAAAATTACAGGGAATTTTGCAATAACCCTTAAATAATTTCACGTAATAATTTAATTAATTGATTGTTATTAGGTTCAGTTATTGTTTACAGCACTTTTTCACTGTTAATATTTACAGTAAAATTTCAATTCAACAGTTAACATAAACAAATACTGACGAGCTCGTAACAAATTCTACTCTACCTCTATTCATATAGTTAAGAGTTCTAAATCGCTGTGTGTTAATATAAGTTCTAACTTTTTAATTACAGATGATGTTAGAATTAATGTTCATTTTAATGCATATTGTACAGCATTTTGTAGAATATAATGAAATGATTTAGACAGGAAAATGAGACCAACTGATCTAAAATGATCTACATGGTTTTTAAAGGTTTTTTTCTATGAAGAATGATGACGCAATTCATGTGACGTTGGGGGCGTATGTGTATAGTTCACCTAGAATGGAAATTCCGAATATTCACATTCTTGTAGGGTTGTGTTCTTCGTTGACACCATAAAAGCAGTCCATCTTTTGCGCTTTTTTCTGTCAAGGGGAAATTACACAATAGAAACATTATACGTTAAGATCTCTCATCATGAATTTTGTACAATGCGCCGTCTTAAATGACATGCGCCCAGGGTTACCTTGTGTGAAAATTTGCAATGTTGACGTTCTTATACGGCGCTGTCTTCCGCTTGCACCAAAGCAGTAACCCTTCTTTTGCTGTCATTTCTGTAAGCACGTAACACACATGCATGAAATTAGACATGACCATGCAAATATTAATAAATTTAAATCAACTACTTCTACAGGGATTATTAAAACAGCAGCTTCAGAAAAAAACAAAAACAAAAAAAAAACAAAAAAAAAAACGCAACAGAAACTGCACACGATCGTTTTTACCTAATATGGAAGTTGCTTATGTTGACATTCTTGTATGGTGCAGTCTTACGCTGACACCATAGCAAGAGGCCTTCTTTCGAAGACAGTTCTGAAATGAAAATTATCAACATGGAGAAATTTATTGATAACGGAAAAGGTTTGGTGGTAACAACTCTGAAAGAAGAAAGCATTACATTTTAAAATTCTGCAAAGTGATACCATCTATGAATTCGTTTTTAAACTGAAATAAGAACAAAGTTATTAGAGCATTTCTTAAGGGGTGGGAGGGGGAGGGGAGGAAAGAAGGTCCATATTTTTCATGAACAAAAACAAATTACTTTGTGCTTCTTCTTTGTCAGAGCGACAATTTGTGCCAACAATTTAAATAAAGCTACATGTACATTACAAAATCTATGGTTATAAGACCATTGTTTTAGTGTAACTTGGGATTTTCCAACTAAGCCTTTTTTAAAGTGGAAATTTCTCTTTTTACCTAATCACTGCTCAGGCTCAGTAACTAAAAGCACAGTAGAATATCAAGACTTTTAAGAAGTCTAAATTCATTCAGATTCAAAATAACTATAACAGAACATAAATGTAAAGACATTAGTATCGATCACCGTTTCTAAACTTTATCATGATACAATGCTGTTAGCAAATTAGCACCACAATGTAGAGTCATATCTGAAAAAAAAATGTATAATTACACCATTAATCTGAAAATAAACAAAATTATTTATAAATCGAGTGAACATTGATTAAAGTAGGAATTTATCAATTGTATATAATTAGAGAACTGATCTAGCATACTCAATTATATACTGTAATATACCACTTTTGAAATTACAAATCTTTTGCGCGTTTGTTACATAGACATTCTCAACTAGAATTGTGATCTTTGTGATCCCGAACCAGGTTCATCGCTCCATCCAGGTTTAGCATCTTAGCCTGTGCAACACTGCAATACAATGGCTCGTCACCAAACCTGAAGCGAAGCACCTGTGACGTCATTACAAATCTAATTAAGAGTGTCTACGAAACAAATGCGCACAAGATTCGTAATTTTAAAAAAGGAATATTATTTAAATAAACCAGTTCTCAAATATATAAAATTAGAACACTTCTCCTTAAACAGCAATCAAGAGCGATACTGTAGTTTCATGGTTGGTTGCACTTCGACTGAAACTACTTTCTACTACCAGAGCTCCAATATGGGATTCAAATACTAATTAATAAAAATTGTTCTTATTCCAATCAATATTATCACTTAATCAAATCATTCAGAACTTAGGATTGACATAATGGCATTAACCAATCTAAACAAATTAATTATGGTAGAATCAATATCATTAAAATTTAAGAACTTTCTAAGAATTAGAGAATGCAAGAGCTGTTGGGGAAAATCAATTTTTACTGCACTGTATATTCTGGTTGAAAATTAGCAAATCCGCAACCTTCCCTGCTACAAAATGACAATATCTTTGGTAAGTTTAATTGATAGTTTTGGTAGGTGTAATAAACACTTGAGCAGTTAAAGCAAGGGTGGGCATAAATATTGGTCGGAGGGCCAAAGTGAATTTTTGATTTATCACCGCGGGCCGCACCCAAACTTTGATGTTTCCAGTGAGCTTCCAAAAAACCTCCAAGCACTACTTTTACAGCTCTTTATTCTCAGTTTTAATGTTATTTTTTACATATGATAGGTGTCGGGCCGAACAAGGTGTTTTCTAGCAAATTTTGCTTGGCGGGCCGCACACATAGGGTTTTTAATTCATTGTCGTGGGCTGCAAACAAATTGCAGTTGGGCCGCACTTTGCCCACCTGTAAGTTAAAGTATGGTCAAAATTATAGACACATGCTTAGTGGCCTTTCTGCATAAGTTAGCAAGTTGGCTGGCTGGATTTTAGCAAAGAGTATAAAATTGCAAGAAGTCTGACTGCTCTCATTTTGTATGCACACAATGAAACGTTTAAAAAAAAAAAAAAGTTAAAAAAAAAGTCCTACCATAAGATTGGGAGGGGTGTTGTATTAGAATTTGAATAGTTTGCTTGAAACTTGTCTTTTGAAGGACATGCTCCTTCGTGGCAGTACTTTTTGAAATTGGATAACGTTCCAATTGAACCGCGGGAGTCAGACCACTTGCAGTTCTACACTCTTTGATTTTAGGCCATGGCTTCATACTGGACAAATGTGGCTAATTTGTCACACCAAGAAGTACAAAGTATTATAATGCTTGTTCGTAAAAACACTAAATATATTTAGCGTGTGCATTTGTTACAATACATGAACAAACACAAATTAATTTGTGCTTCTTCTTCGTGAAAGGGAAAATTTGTGCCAACAATTTAAAGAAAGCTACTATACAAAATCTATGGTTATTAAGACCATTGTTATGGTAACTGGGGATTTCCAATGCTCAATTGGACCCTTCTCAAGCAAGCTATTACAGTATACTGTACAAACAGCTTGCTAACACAAGAGAAGTATCACCACTCACTAATTAAATGGCTGGCTATTGAAAGCAACCAAATTCTAATGTTATAGAATAACTCATAAATGTGGATTATTAATTGATTTTCTAGACTCATACCTTCTACTGAAATATCTTGAATAGCAAATCGAAGGATAATAGTCCAGATCATACCCAAAGTCATCTTCAAGTTTCCATCAACAATCTCTGTTTGAAGAAAACAACATTAAACAAAACATTAATATACTGCAAGTTTTCAGATCCAGAGAAGAATCTAGGAAGGGGACATGCGACGTGGGATGGCATAGTCAACTGTAAAATACAATCAATACATGTACACATACTGTATTAGAACTTTTAAAGGGTATCACACAGTGCTTTTAATACAATTTTCTGTGCTCTCTCTACTCTTCCTCCTTTGTTTATTTTTTTGGGGGTACTCCTTGCCCAACCCCAAAGAATTCAGTCGTTACCAACTTACAGCTTTCTACAAATACAATTCTTAAATTTATAACCATTTTATGGGTATACTGTAGTCAAAATATATAGGAATGGTTTTATATGTAATATTGATAGTGTTTTAGTTCTAATTTTCATCTTAAAACTAATATCGTAATAAAGTAGGCATCAACAATTTAAATTTTAACCAGATGAAACTATTCAAATTTAAATATAATTTAATTATCTCAGTATGCTCTAATAAAATAAATAATTGTTGCTAATTGCTATATAAACAAGCTCTAATGCCAAAACAAGTATTAAATTGGAACCACTAACAGTACAATAACTAATAATTGGTATAATACTTAGTTTAAAGTGAATTCCTTTAATAATATTATGCCATTAAAACTACACTAACTTATTACTATATTTCAACATGTTTTTATCCTTGTTTCAGTATTACTATTAGACAACATTAAAATCAATGCACGATATTTGATAATCAAAATCAAAAGCAACAATGACCATATGTTGTTAATAATTAGGGTATTTTGCTTACATATTATAAATGCCTACAATACAGTAATCTTCACATTAATATTTAAAATCAGTAATCCAAGAAAAAAAAAATACAGCTAGTCGTCACTATTGAATGAACCACAAGAAAACATAGATCACAGATTTGTAAGCAGAAAAGTAGTTCATTTTTTTTTCAAGGCCAAACTAGGTATTGAAATTGTATCTGGATTAATTATGCAACAAACTCAATCACCGATCATTGAAAGAAGTTCATTAAACTTGGAAATGTTTTCATTGTGATAAATAAAACACACATTCAACATCATAAAGTTAAAAGCATAATCAGGTCAAATGCTAAAAATTACCATATTTTACATCTCATTATAAATACTGTAATCATACGGCAGACTTATGACTACATATATTGACAATCACAATAAAAGATAAACTCTCCCATGACAATCAAAACAGTGAAGTCTTTATCTTTCTAATTGCTTCTAAAATAATTCATGTACAAATAATAATTTTCTGAACATTTGACCTGAAGTTCATAGAAGAGTAAATCTAAAAATGTTGTCTTCAGTTACTGTCCTTTAAAGTAATTAACATTTATCCTGTTTCTTTCTACAGTATTTCTATTGGCATTTAACACCTTTAACTGATCTTAATCTTATTTCGTAAGGTAAAAGTGCAGAAGTATCAGAAACAAGTATAATTTAGTTATATTATAGTATAAGATAATTGTAATACATTACATTAAGAAATTATATAGAAAATATTGAACAATACGATATAATAATAGTAAGATACAGGGCATACTGTATGCAAATCGAATACTGAGTACTGTAGTCTTATAGTTTTATAGTCTGTACCTCATAATTATTCAACAGTATAGTTACAATTTGACAGTACAGCAGGATCGCAGTACAGTTGGCATATACAGAAGTACATTTAGTAAAATTAAAATACCGTATTTTCTAAAGTACAGTTAACTTAAACATGATGGCTATCATACTAATGTATTATTGTTATTTTTCTTCTTCACAAGGGAATCTTGTATTGGTTTTACAGATGACTAGTCAGCAATGAATCTGTTACAGTTGGGAACAATGGTTTAGAGTGGCAATATAACACTATCTATTCTGACAGATTATTTCTATTGTACTCAAGGGGAAGGAATTCAACATCTGCAGGTCGGTGTGGCTATATGTTTGGAACGATCTTAGGAAAACACAAGCTTTAACTAGTTGTCCTATTCAGTAACTACAATAAACACGTTGACATCAACACTACTTGTTGTACTGTATAGCTCCATGTTTTGACAATTGATAAATACAGGCATTCTGATTTTTATTTAATGACTAAGTTTCTTGGGTATAAGTACACCCCTTAATTTACGCCCAAATCTATGTATCAAACTATCCTTTCCTCAGGTAAAAGCACAGGGTATGATTTAAACAAGTACTGTAGCTTAGTGGACTTTCACAAAATACTCTAACAAAATCATATATTTGGCTTTGAATTAGGCATGCAAAGTGCTGATAAAGTGCATTTTGATTGAAAAGGGAATTCCCGAGTTTAACTATGTACAGTAAGTCCACCACACCACCCAAAATCAATCAATCTTAATTTTGTGTTCAAGGAAGGTACTTAATTACATTGATTCCTTTTGGAGCATTCTACAGTACACATTTTGACAAAGTGTGCATTCTTTTTATAATGTTCTTCCCCATTACTAATACCTTCATGAACAAGAACTTAGTCTATTCACATAATTTCATATGTTATCAACTGTACACTGCTTTTTCGTGAATAAATAATATATATCTACTAATATAAATATTTAATAAACATCACATCACTGTCATAATTATCATTACCGAACAATGCATCATTAACTTCATAATTACCACAGTCTTTACCATAATCACCTCATTGTCATCTTTACTATCAAAACTAGCATCACAATTGCCATTTTCTTATACTATTCATACCACTACTGCCACCACTACTAACTACCACATCCAGCTAACTAATATCCACTAACCTTCGGCACCAATGGAAACAAGCTTGACTCCTTTGCGTTCAATAAATTCAAGAGCTTTGTTAACATTGGATATTTTATGAAAACGAAGGTTTCCTTTTTCTGGTTTTGGTAGTTTTTCCCCTGAGATGACCTCCAGTAGGAGGATAAGTCGGAGACCATTTTTAAAATCTTCTTCTAAGTCATCAATTTGAACATTCATCCGCCGCAAATGTGAGTTGCACCAAGCCGTGAATGTCTGAAAATGATACAAAAAATGGTAGTCAAGATTTAATAGATAAATTATTCACAAAGAAAGATTTTCTGAGAGGGACATATACTGAGAGAACAAAATCACTATAGGAAGGAACATCTGCAGAGGGAAGAGATAACTGAAGAGGGAGAAACATCTTTGGATGGGGAGACGTCTGCAGAGAAAGATCTGCAAATATCTGTAGAAGGTATGCATAGGGAAGGGTTATCTACCAGTGAGGTGTTTGAGGAGGGCAATACCCCTTCAGACAGGCCTCGACCCCGCCACGATGAGGACGTCGGACCAAAATTATTAATACTGTATGCCTATCCAATAACTTTATTTTGATTGCTAATTGGTCTAAAAGTACAATTTTTGGGTCATACTAAGCCATAAAAACTCTCCCCATAAATACTAGCAGGAATTTTAATTGAGAGACACGGCCGATGCTCTAGTTGACCCATGGAACCACTGCAGCTATCTACAGAGGCGAGCACATCTACAAAGTTAGCCAGATTTCTATAAAAGTCACAATTTTTTTTATTGTAGAAACATCAAAAGTTGCAAAGAATCAATTAAAAAGTTTTATATCTTTAACAAAACCTCCCCCCCACAAAAAAAAATAAAAGGACGATTTCAAAATTAAATTGACACAATCTAGAGTGACCTCCTTAATTACCTAACGACTCTTATTCTAATAATATACCTGTCAGGTCTTAACCATACTACAGAATTCGTTCAGTGATGATTCAAAGCATCTTAAAATTCATGAGAATTTAAGCGGAATGTTTATCCAAGTCGTCCATCTTTGTATGTATGATTGAATTACTATCAATTTACCTTTAAGTGTCAAGGGTCGACGACCTAAGACTTTATAACAGCGTGTTCTTAAGTTGTTAGATTATAAATTGCAAAACATATACGACATTTTGGGGGTACATTTAATAAATAAATGAAAGTCGTTGATTATATTCAGTGTCAAATAATGTCAAAAATCATCCCGGGGCCGAATTCACACATTTCAGACTATTAAAACATAGCAGACAGATAAATGACAGTAACACTGCATGCCTAAATATAGTGATAGCAGCTTCAGCTATGATCTGATTAATACTACAGTATCATCAGGCAACATTCCTGACGGATGGAATAAATATAGATATTTCACAATCTCTATAATTTAATCACCTGACAAATGTCAAATCAGAAACAAACCATGGTTTTATTTTTTCTAGTAGTACTGTAATATATAACATTTATTAAGACCATATAGCATTCTTTAACCAAGTTATAACAAAGTTTTCAAATTTCCTCAGGTTAACAAAATCAATATGCTCCTCATATTAGATGTTTTAAGCAAAATGCTATATTGTAAGTACAGGGTATTTTCTAAAAGGACTGCTACTCAACAGTGCTAAAGTTCATGTTTGGGGTGTTCCTATCTCATGTTCAAGTTTTGTGCTTTTTCCTTGCAGTTTCTAATGTTTTTTGACGAAAAATAATTAAAATGAAAAAAAAAATGGGGAAAAAATATATATAAAAAATACTTTACATGGTACGATGTACAGATAATCCTTTAAAAATCCAAACATCATTATTCATTATCATTACTGTACGTTTAGGCTTTAGATTGTCTTATACAATTTCATGAGATTGTGTCCATTAATATGTTCTCAACCTTAACATTTTTCAAGATATAGAACATCGCCACCCAAAAATTCAAGAACACCTCTGAAATTAAATAGGACTTTGACTTGCCCATTTAAAAGAACTATGAGTCACTTACAATAACTCACTGATCAGAAAACAGAATGTAAATGATTTACAGACATTTTATAATAAAACTCCTTAAATTTGCTGGCAGAATAATTGGGGTAGGCCTAATTATTATTGAACAGCTGTTAATTGGGGAAGAAAATGTTCCCTTTTTAAGTTTCAGTATAGAACTAACATCTTTATACCAGTATTTAATTATTTATAGATGATTTACTACAAAAAATCAACTTTTAACAGATATTTAAGGGTATGCATAACCCATAGGAATGATGTTGGTGAGGATTTTTTTAAAAATTCTATTTTTCAGATTAAAAATATTAATGATAATTTTTTCTTTAAGTAATTTCAGATAATATGAGTTGCAATCAATAAATATTCAATATAAATACTGATGTTCTATTAATTTAATACATCTTGCCATTATCACAAAAATGCGTAATCTGTGAAATATATTATCATTTTAATATTAGATAAGAAAACTCCAAGAATAGCCCAATTATGATACTTAGCTGATTATGAAATATGCAAAATATCTATGGTGTCCTTGATTATGGACTAGTCTTTGTCATGTGCTACAGTAACCTGCATCTTCTATGCGTAGTCACAATGTCACAAGCCTTGCAATGAACTCGCTATTATACCATATGGTATTATTCTGTAATTTAAACTGCTATAATAATTATTTAGCAAGTACAAAAAAAAAAAAATGGAGTAGATTTCCAACTAAAGGGGATGTTTTTCTAAAATTCACAATGATACTGTCGGCCTACTAAAAGTGTGTTGAAGCAAAACAGGGAAATTGCCTTCTGTATAATTTTCCAGATAATCACATTGCTACTCAGAGGGTGGCCAAGGTAACAACAAATAACGCACCACTGTATTTGTGGGTTAAATTTTGATGAATACTTATCGGCGATGTTTTCATAAACAGTGTTATTTTCATCGGTATCGTTAAGCTGTCCTCTCCCTGAATATCCAGTGTAATGAGTCATTCTACACAGTGTCACACCCCGCTCCTTGGATGTAAGTTTTCACAAATCGCCAGCCATTCGTAAAAAAATCTGGCTGAGTGTGCGGTCATAAAAGTAAAGTTTTATAAAAAATTATAATCTAATTCAGCTTTAATGAAACACATCTTCTCATACTTCCTGAGTAAACAAATAGGCAGATCTTTCTAACTACTGTAAGTCCTTGACAATGGAACCAAACGTACACAAATTGATGAAAAACACAATTTTAAGAAAGGAACTAGGATCTAATGGTATACATGTTTTGGGTTTTCTCGCCAATCCATCAGTAGTACAAACAGAAAAGCAAAAATGAAAAAAGCTTGCCATTCTTAACTAAGAATATAAATACAATAAATTAAATGAATATATTAAAGTAAAGTTATTTGTATATGGTACATCTGAGTACTTGTGACCCCCACAAAAGTAAACTAAAAAGAATATTAGCTTCTAATATAAGACTAATTTATTCTCTTTTGTCATTTATACCAGCCATATTCTAAACCAAGTCACATGACGACATAAAAAAATGTCGCGCGAGTCTAACAGAAATTAAGGCAACCTCCCACACTATGCAAAAAAGGAAGACTATCAAGAGACAACATTTTTATGCTTTTTTTAACACAGACTTTTGGGTTGATACTTTTGAGTTGTGAGAACAAACTCCAGTTTATCTTTCTGTTTTTGAATTTTGACGGCATATCAGTAAATTTGTAATCGAGGGCTGACCTAGGATACAAGTCAAGAACACTTGAGATAACTCATCAGATTCATGAATATCAGATCTACAAACAAAATAATGGTAGGTTGCTTGTAAACTGCACTTGTATAGTTAGGAATATTCGGTGCCACTTCTGCTATGGGCCTCATCTGGCCTGGAGCTTACCTGCAGTATCTGTAGCATTTAGGGATAAGTGTGTCGGTCCCCCATGATTAGATGCTAGTCTATTAGTAGGTTACTCCCAGCAATTTGCTAGTACCACAGCTGGGTAGACTAAAGCAATGTAATGTACCTAGTGTCAATAAGGACATTAATGAAATCAATTGTAGCCTCTATATCACTACCACTCCTCCTATCCTCCCCCTCCCCAACACACACACATATCTAGATCACCATGGAGCTGTCAAAGCAGTTTTCCTGTTTTATGTTTTAAGGAACTACTACAAACAAAAAAGAAATGGTTGCAATAATTTTTATAAATTTTGATGCTGACCATGACCTTTTCCTTCCTTCCAAATCTAATGTATTTGAATACAGTTGCAATATACTTGATATCAAGGCGTTTTTGATCTGTAGGCCTATAGGCCTACCAGTAGCTGTGTTTTCTCCATTAACTAGAATCCTTGGAGGATTGTACATTTTGTGAGAGTCTTCTTAATTCAAAATGGGGTAGAGGAGAAAATTAAGGAAATCACTGAAACCATGATATCCTGTAATTGACAATCAAAAATTACCAATGGGACCTCATCAATGCCATGGATGACGTCAACGCTATGAAAAAAAAGTTTCAGTAGCAGGATGGCTACAAACGCCACGATTAGTGTGTCAACATCAAGACCAACATACAGGCAATGGGGACTGTTTTCAATTCCATGGATGGCGTCCAGATGATACCACTATAAAACAATGTTGTATTGTCGATTACAGTTATAAATGACTATTACAGATGGTTAAATTTCAACTAATCCAATCTAGGAAGTTTTAAAAATTCATTTAAAATATATATTTCCTAAACAATATTTAAATATTAAATCCTACATTCCAGTTTCATTCGCATCAAATGGAATCACCAAATTACTATAAAAAACTAAAAAAGTTACTGTACGAGATAGTCCACGCTTTGAGCACTCTTTAGTTTGAGACTATGGTGTAAGGTGTTAATAGTTACCAAAAAAAAAAAAACAAACAAACAAAAAAGAAAGCAAAGCCTGCCAATAGATCTAAATTGAAAGAATAAACTACTGTAAGTATAAATCATATATTGAGATATGTCAAATTTACAAAATGAAGTTGTTTTGATTTTTGCTCTACTATATCTCTGATGCTATCATCATCCTAAAAGGTATGTGTTATCATGATCATATTTTTAATACAATGCATTGACTGTAGGTCTATGATCATTAATTATTATAAAGAGCAGAGTTCATCTGTACTACAGTAGATCTAACTGTTACACACCCCACAACAGCTGTTTAACTAAACAACATGCATAACACATGTGA